TTTTTTTTTTTAAGAAACAGGAGAGGGAAAAAAAAAAAAAGAAAGCAAATCTGCTTCTCAAATGTCAAGGACTTGAAAGACTAAAAATACATCCCCGGAATAAATAAATTAACCCAGTCGACAGGACTGATGCTCTGCAGGCATCAGGGATTAAATAAATTCACCAAATTCAAAGTGGTATTGCAGATAAGAGCTCTTTGTGCTGCAGCATGTACAGCTTATTGATTGTAGGATTGAGGTGCTGTGCACTCTTGTAAATGGGACCGGGGCTGACGGGGGCTTAATCCTGCCCTGACGCACAGCCCGGCGCTCAGAGCGTGGGGCCAGCCCGCCTTCCCTCATTTATTTTAATTTGGTTTGGGTCTTGCTTTGCTGCACCCCCATCTGTGCCTCTCCCCGGGCGGTGCCCGAGGCGCGGAGGAAGGTGCTGAGTCAGCAGGATGAGGGCCGGGGCTTGGAATGCTGCTGGGAATCTTCCGCGGGTGTTTTCCATAGGGATGGAAAGCCTCTCTGCACGGGGAGGGGGGTGCAAGGACGAGGGGTCCTCGAGCTCAGGGGGATGGAGGGACCCTTGGGGGGAGATCCTTGTCCTGTAGACCCACCTTCTGTTCAGCAGGAGGGAGTGTGACCGAGGGGAAAACACTCTACCTGTCCAAGACAACAGGGATTTTCCTGGACAAAAAGAGGGAGTGGAAAGGTTTAAGTGCTGCTGGGTCAAAGCAATCCCAGAGGGGATTATACACGTGGCTGGAATGAAGTTTGGTAAATTCCTATCAACCTGTTTTTCAGGGCAGAGGGTGTTTTCACCCTTCACGCTAATACAAAAGCACATTTCTTTCCTCCTCTGGAAGCTCTACTGCCTCAAGTCTTTGCAGGTTTCTCTGAAGAGTCAGCAGAGCTCTCCAAACACAGAATTTTATAATTTACCAAGAAAGGGAAAACCCTCCCGGCCTCTGGGGGTGTGAGAAAGCAGCTGGGCATGGCAGTGATGCTCTCATGAAGTGCTGGTCTCCTGGTCCATGTCTCCTTGGGTCAGATGGTTCCAAGCACCAGCACCTTCCCAGCCTCAGGAAGTCCTTGGGTGTCAGTTTTCTGGGAAAAGAGATGATCTGACCAAGATGAAAAACTTTTATTATTGATTACTGTCTACCAGGTATGAGGGAAAATCTCCCTTGTATGAAAGAAGTTATTATGAAGGAGCTCCCTTGTATGAAGGAGCTACAGGGACTTGACTTTTGGGTAACCTCCTCAAATCCCTGTATCTCCCTCAGGTTTGGCAAATCTCCCAATATCCAACTTCACCAAAATCCAGCCTCTTAATCTAAAGACACATCATCTCTCCTACGTAACTCTGCCTCCTGAGCACGATCACAGGGCCTGCATTTCAACACCCAGGATTCATTAATATTTCCTGCAGAGTGTTCAGTAAGTAGCAAATAAAGCAGGAAGTGTCCCAGATGTTGGAAAGAAAAAATGGAATTATTCATTGCTTACTAACATCAAATGCTAATCTGAGAAAAGCATCCTTGAAGAAATCCTTGACTAAAATTCATCAGAGTGATGTGAAATCACTGTTTTAATTATGCATCTTTGAATGTATTTATTAGTTCCCGGTTCTGATCTGACTTACAGATGTTTAACAGTGATAAGGGTCTGTTGCATCTTCGGAATTACTCGTGATTTATAATGACAAAACTTGGATCAGAATTAGGTCCTTGTCACTACTCCATAATATCCTTTCATCAAACTTCCTCACATTCAACAGATGAAAGCAAAAACGTGGTTTCTGCAATTTCAGACCCCGCCACTGAGCTCGTTAGGTTGGGGGTTGAAATTTCTCCTCCAGAAATGATGATTCTCGCACAAAATTTTGCCTGCTTGAGCTCTACTTGCCACAGGAAACTGGAGACCAAAGTGGGCTCCTTATTCCCCCAAAAGGGTGTGTTTGGTTAACCTTGTGCTGGCTGTAAATGTGGGGGTTCAATAAAGGAGTCCATTCTTTAGTTATGCAACTCTACAATATCGTTCTCTCTTATTATTGTGACTATCAGATGTATATACATACCTAATACTGGTTGATTTGCCAAACCTGTGGGAAATACGGGAATTTGATGAGGTTACCCAAAAGATTAGAGAGACTGTGCTCGATACCAAAGGTATTTAAAATAGAACACCCTCTGTTCAAGACAGATTCCAAGCCATGTGTGTTTCCAAAGAATGATGGAGTTTTAAACTGCTTGTTCTAGAGCTGATCCAGAAAGAGCAGGTCTCCAGGGATGGTTTGCTCCCTAAGGCATGACTGCATGATTAAACTCAATGCATTCCATAAATGCCTTGATGACATTAAACTAAATTTTTTAAAGAACAGATGGAGAAAGTTAATAAATATTTCATTCTATAATATAAAACTCACTTCTATATTCACAACTTCAGGGATCCTCGGCTTCACAGATATCAATAAGTCTGATGGATTTCTTGCTGCATTCTCATTCTTCTGCCCTGGTGTGTCTTATGGGATCATCATTTCTGCATGCTTGGATTGTTTTATGGGATCAGGGAAAGGCAAGTGACTGTAAATCTCGACCTCTTCTGCTCCTGGATTATATACTTTTATTCTTTGTGACCATAAGTGTTCGTCTCCACACTGAATAGATAATTAAATGACAAAAATTATTCAAAGGGAATTTATAGTGAGAAATTATCCCTTGAAGAACTGATAGGGCACAGGCATAACCCAAGGAGATACCAGGAAAAAAAACCAGTTTAGAATGGCCAAATAAAACACTGAAATATCTGTGTATTTATAAACGTCATGAAAACATCCATTTCCTGGGAAAAAAAAACATGATTTTTACCTGAATATCCCAATTCTATTCAAACAAAATTTCTATGAAGGGAAAACAGTGTGAATATTGCTTAAGAACTGGAGACCAAGCCTGTTATTCATATGAAAGAACTAATCTTTCCATGTGGGAATTACAATTTCTCACTCTATGTATGCCATGAATCTTGTAAAAGAATAATTAGAACTTGCTCCAAAAGGAAAGAAACGCCAGACTTGAATAATATTTTAGGAAGAGCATTAACAAACAGTTTTATACTGCCAACAATCTTCTAGAAGAGATTTACATTCCATTATTAATTAACTGTACTGAGTCAATAGCATGACATAAAGCTCAGGAGATGTATGTTTAGCGCAAACTCTGACATTCAGGAGAACTGCACACATTTGGAGGAAGTTTGATTTAAAATTTATGCAAATGAGCTCAGCAAGCAAAGACCCCACGAACTACTTCAAAGCATCACCATCCAGCCCGAAAAACATGACAAGATCAAATCTTTGTCATCTCTCAAGTGTCTTCCCAAACCTCCGCATATTCAGTGTAAATTATATCTCCATCCCCCCCCCCCCCCCCCAGTACCTGGATGCTTTGGTGGAGAATTAGGGATGCTTTGCTCTTCTGACACTGCCATGTCAGACAACGGGCACCTGAGTGATTGCAAGAATTTAAATATACCTAAATGATACAGAAATTGTCCCTGTGGAGCTGACTCCTGTGCAGAGTCCGTGGAATACGAGGTCCCATGCTGAGCTGGCTGACAGGGTTGACCACAACAGGACAGAGAAAAAATACCAGGGCTATTGTCCCCCTTCCCCTTTCCCCCCAGCTCTGACCACCCTTCTGGTTTCGGGTTGAGAAACCTCACAAAACGGGGTCCAGGGAAAATATTAAATTCAGAGTAATGACAAAAATAATTCCAAGGGAATTTATAGTGACAAATTAGAACTTGAAGAAGTGATGGATAACCCAAGAAGATACCGCGATATCATGCTATTGTTCCCCCTCCTTTTCCCTCAACTCTGACCACCTTTCAGTTTTTGGGATGTGGATCCCCACAACACTGTGCCCCTGGAAAGTATTAAATGTGGAGTAACACATTGCTGTAAAGAAATACTAATTAATTCAGGTTAAGTTTCATGCCAGAGAAATTGGTTTATCCCCTTACTGAAAGTTAGGTTAGGTCCAGGTAAATTTGTATCTTCAGAATCAGGGCTTTTAAGAAAAAAAAAAAAGTTTCCCGTGTTTCCCGACATCCCATTAAAAAGGTTGTCCTTTGACGTCAATTAGAGCCAGCTAAGCAAAAAAAAATCATCCTTAATTGCTTTTCAGAAACAGACATTAGAACGTCCCCCCTCGCAGCCAGATTCGATTACCTTTTACAAGAAACAAGGATGCTGGGAATGCCATAAAACTCCGGCTCTGCTGAATATGGATGTGGGGCTCTGCTGACAGTCCATGGAGCTGCTTTCCCTTGGGCTGCAGAGAAATCTCACACAAAGCCCACAGACATCCCTAAACTTCTCCAAAGGGTGAAAATGCCGAAGCTGGATTTGCACCTGGGGCTGGTTTTGGGACAGCTCTGCAATGGAGCGAGGTTGGGAGAGCTGGGGGTGTTCACCCGGAGAGAAAAATCCACAGAGACCTTAAAACTCCTTCCATGCCTAAAGGGGCTCCAGGAGAGCTGGAGAGGGACCTTGGACAAGGGCCTGAAGGGATAGAAGAAGGTGGAATGGCTTCCCACTGCCAGAGGGCAGGGTTGGATGGGATATTGGGAAGGAATTCTTCCCTGTGAGGGTGGGGTGGCCCTGGCACAGGTTGCCCAGAGAAGCTGTGGCTGCCCCAGCCCTGGAAGTGTCCAAGGCCAGGTTGGATGAGGCTAGGAGCAACCTGGGATAGCAAAAGGTGTCCCTGCCCATGGAAGGGTGTGGAATGAGATGGCTTTAAGGTCCCTCCCCTCCCAAACCATTCTATGGATGCTCAGTGCTCCATCCCTGCCTCCCCATAAGAGTGAGTGTAATTTACCCTGACAATTATAGCTACAGAAACGATCTAGTCCTCAAAACTTGTGCCTGTTCCTTTACATCACCAAAGCCTTCTCCAAACTTGTCTTACTCCAGGGACTTCATAATGTCTCTGCCCACCAGGAAGAAGAGGAGTCCAGCCAGTAGGACCAGGGGGACCCCGGCTGCAGCGAACATGAATGACCACCCGTAGTAGACGTGCACGGGGACATCGTCCAGGCACCTCTCGCTCCTCTCCAGCAGGATGTACTTCTGGAAGTCAGCAGCAAACTCCTTCCACATTACGAAGAGAAACACTAGCAGGAGAAATAAACCTCCTGGAAAGAGAGACAGAGAGGAGTTATTGCCTGCACATGGAACACAGGAGAAAAAGTAAGAAGAGATCTCGACAGGTCTCCAGTTGTCCCTGCAGGTCCTTCAGCCAAAGCTTACTGCTACAGAATTGTTATCCATGGTGTTGCTCTGCAGGTTCCTGTGGAAGCCAAGCCCTCTTGTCCTGGAGGAGACCCACACCACTGTGACCAGTTCCTGCCCGCTGACACTTTGTGCTTTAACAAGCTGGCTCTGCTGCAGCTGGAGATGGGCACGAGGAACCATCGTGAACACGACTCATGTTCTCAGCAGGGACCTGAATTCCTCTCCCCAAGGGTGCCTTTTTGCCTTATTGATTTCTCTGAGATGAATGAGGAGACACCAAGACTCACTTTTTCCTTTTTTATACCTACCCTTCCAAGCAGTGTCAGATCCAACTTCCAGTTTAGAAATGCAAGGATGTGGGAATCGATCCTGCTAATGGCAACTGAACCTGCTACCCCCAGCAGGTACAGATGATCCTGTTTTGCAAGGAAATAACACATAATAGAGTGCAAAAGGTACATAGCCCTGAGATATCAATCTTAGATGGGCTACAAAATAACAGAATAATAAAAAAAAAATAATAAGCAGTTTTTACCAGGAGGCTACAAAGACTTCACATGGGCGAGTGAGACCTCCTGGCCCTCCTGGAGCCAGATAGAGGAAAGCTGAGGCCACACAAAGCCTGAGCAGAGAGATGCAGGGTCAGCGTCTCTCCTGGAGGGGTCTGGTCTCCTGGGAGCCTCCCTGCCCTCGCAGGATGCCCATGACCCAAACAGGTCTCCCAGGAGATCTCCCCATCTCATATTTCCAGCTGCATTCCCGTCGAAGGTCAGCGGGAAGAGCTTGGTCACATCTGAAAAGCATGTGGTGAACAGGCACCTCCTGGACTTGGGGCCTTCAGTGCCTTAATAGGAACCTCCTTTCCCCATAATCCAAGTGCTGGAGGTTTAGTCTTCCCCCCATATGAAGCAGATGACAAAAACTGGAGTGGCCCAAATACTATTTACTGAGTGTAATTGAAAATACATATTAGTTCTAATATATGTTGAATTTAAACTGCGCTAAGTAGTGATGGTGTGATGACAGGTCTGAAAGCACTTCAGTAATATCTGGTCTTGGTACTTCACAGCCAGAAGCTGCTATTTTTAAAAGGTGCTGTATAACATATAGACACACACACACATATGAAAGAAATACATCACAGCTTATAATATTTTTATAGTTCGAAGTGAACAGCTCGAAATTAATTCAGTTGACAAGTTACCACACAGCCCTGTGGATGTGTTGTGGCTTCTGCAGGATTTCATTTCTCCCCTTGCCATTTTTAAATCAAAGGTAGTTGTAGCGTATTTCATTATTCTTCCTGGCAGCTTAAACACTCCAAAATCCAGCTCTTCTGCTAAGGAAAGGAAGGGTGTAAAGCCTGATGCTGATTTATCTGCTTAGTGATTACTGAATCCTCAGCCAGAGAAAACATGCCAGTGTTTTACTGTGATTCTCTTTATAGTGGATATAAACAGCCAAAACCGAGATTTACAGGAAGGTCAGAAGGTTCAAAGTCCTCACTACAAGTTATACAAAAGTTGGAGCTACCCATCCTAAACACATTCATTACACTGCCTCCCACACCCTAAAAAATGGAATCTTATCAACAAAAAATCAGCCTAACCCTATGAATATTCTTCACCTCACCCTCCACTGTTATTTCAAGTGGTTTTCCCTGATGTGGAGAAGTCCTTGTGTTCGCTGGAGAGGCAGGCGAGGAGTTAAACAGCAGCTGCTGCAACATTTGCATGTTCATTGAGGTTTTGATACCACTTGAAATTAAGTGCACAAATAAATATTTTACACTTACCATGATAGTTGTATGCTTAAAATACCAATTATTCTACTGTAAGAAAACCATCGTGTGTTTAAATAGTCGCATGTCCTTTACAAAATACAATGTATTGATAAGAAGGCAATTAAGTCTTTATTACTGATGTAATTTAAAATTAAATTAATTAGATAGCAACTGAACCTTGAAAAGTGCTCTTTTAAAGATCAATTTCTATTTCATTAACTTATAATACCTATGGTAAGAGACACAAATGAAACCGTAGCCCCAGTGGGAGAGAGAACGTGGTCTGGTAAAGTACTTTGGAATCCTCCTATTTTACTTTAAATAACCAGGAATTCTGTGCTGACTTGTCCCAGGATAATTTAGATGGTCTAAATCTCTTTTTATTTTTAAGTAATCAGATCAAAATCTTCCAGTTCTTACCGAGGAGGGTGTGAAAAGTCCCACAAGGGGTGGCCCCATCCCCAACCTCGGCAGGAGCTAAAGATTGGGATTGATCCCTCCCCTTGCCCCAGGAGGAGAGTCAGGCCTTGGTAGAGAAGGATTTATTATTAAACAGGTACTGGAGGTGATGGCACGGCCATGGCATCTAAATTAAGAATGTTTTCACACTCTGGGAAAATGACAAGAAACTGTAAAGTAAGCAGCCTTCTTCCCTGGAATAATTACAGCTGAGTGACAAAGAGTCCCTGGGATTTGCACCATGTCCTCAGCGAGAAGAGAAAATCAGAAGGGCAGGTGCAGCCAAAGGACGGTGGGAATGCAGAGAAAGGGCAGCTCAACAAAAACTGCTCAGCCAAAAATGCCAGTTTGGAGCAATCACGAGTATTCACGAGACTGCCTAAAATTTGTCACCCTTACAGCCACCAGCAGACTCTCCACAACGACAAAACCAGAAGTTTTCACCTCCATATTGCCAAAGTGTTTGGCATTTTTGTTTCAAAATGCTGTTTTATTTGGGATTTTTCATCTTTTGGACAGGTCTCACTTTACCACCTCCTTCCTTGGATGCTGTGAAAAGTCATCTTCGTTTCCTGCCAGCTTTTGGTGTGCAGAGACAGATTCCCTCCTGCCTTGGGCAGCAACATGAAAAACTGAAAAAAACACAATTTTCTGCCCTAAAAATGAGACTGGCATTGGCACCCACACCTGTGAGACAGGATGCATGTTGGGCTTGGGGAAGGGGAAGCAAAGACCTCATCAAACCAAGCCATCTTTACAATCCTCTCAGCATCCCTGTGGCTTCTACTGCTGGAAAATTCCCCAGGTGATCTTTTCCCTTCTCTGCTTCTCCCTCTTTGCCTCTGTTCATCAGGATGGTATAGGAAAAAAATTAACTGTGAAACTCCATCTCGGTGCTGATGAGGTCAATGGCATCTTCTGGGGAGGGGCTAATTGCAAGCAAATTGAAGTGGGGTATTAAATCTGTCTCCTTTGAACAGTGCAGAACAGGGGACCCCAGTGGTCCATCCCCCCCTCCCAGAGCTGCACCTTCCCTGAGGGTAAATTGGAGTCGAGCTTTTCCTTTCTCTCACTTTATTTCCTTGTGACACCTTTATAGCTGCTAATTGTGGGGACAGGTGAGTGAACTCAATCTTTAACTCCTGTTCTGTGGAAGCTGCTGAACTTTTGTGTAATCTGCTAATTACGAGAATAATGAACTTTGACTCGTTCTCCTCCTTCACCAGTTGCCTCTTAAGGATGTTAATAACGAGGAAATGGAGGGGTGACCTTCAGCTGCCCTTACAGAACTGTCAGCCTTTGCTGCACGTGGGGAGCCTGAGACTGCCAAAGCGCTGCTGGATTTGGGAAGATCTGAGTGAGAAATTCAGCACTTTAACTCCTGGGACTGGAAAATCTGCCTCTTTTTTTCATGCTGTTGGGTCATGTTGAAGGACAGGTTGGTCCCACCATGGGCAGAGATGCCACCCACTGGACCAGGTTGCTGCAAGACCCATCCAACCTGGCCTTGGACACTTCCAGGGATCCAGGGGCAGCCACAGCTTCTCTGGGCAACCTGTGCCAGGGCCTCCCTTCCAATGCCCAAAAGAAATGAAAACTGAGGAGCGCAAGGTAGAGAAAAGGAAGAAGCACAAGCAAAGTTGTCTCAGCACTTCAAAGAGTTTCCAGAAGCTGCAGCACAGAGTTCACCCACCCCTCTCAGTGATACTGTAGTCCTAATTAATCATGTTGTCATCTGACTTTTGAAACAAGGGGACAATTAGTCGGCAGGCAGGATCTGCCACCCTATTGGAAGTGCTGAAGCTCAGGCAGGGATGGCAAATGCTGGAAGGGAAGCAGCACGCTGGCTATTTACTGGTGTATTCCAGGTTTTGGGAGCAGGCTGGCAGGGAGAGCTTGCCCAGCTGGGACAGTGGATGTGCAAATGCAGCAGCAGCAAATGCCAGCTGGGCTCTGGCTGCCTTTCCCAAGTCCCCCAGCAGAGGAAATCGAGGGAGGTGGCTCTGGCCCTTTGAAAGGGCTCCCAGAAACACCTCCCAGGGAGCAGTCCACTGGTTACAGTGATGGCAGACAGTTACATTTGTCCCCTTGAAAGGACAAAAAAAAAAAAGGCTTCTCAGAGAGGAAACCCAAAGGGTTTATTGAACAATAACAACCTTCACCCTTTAGCTCTGGATTCCCCTGGCACAGAGGGACACACACGACTCCTCAAGACCACATCAGGGTTACCCACAAATGCTTGAGAGTGAGTTTTCAATATCTTTAGAGCCCTTTGGTGGCAAAAGTTACATCCTTTTGAGGTGATTAACCATGGCTGTGCCGTCACAACCTCTACCAAAAGGGGGGTTCATGGGCACAGTGAAGGTGCCTACAAAGCATTCTCTGAGAGGTCAACGTGGTGCCCCATCTCACCACCTGACTGCCAGCCCACCTTCCCACTCCACAGATTGCCAGCATTTTCACACTTCCTCAAGGAGAGATCATTTCTGCAAGGGAGGTTAATTAACACTGACCCCCAGGCCATGATTAGAAGACAAGAAGCGCTTTCTCCTGCATCATCCCTCCCTGCACATCCCGCTGTCCCAGGGAGAGGGTGGCTGGGGAGCTGAAGCTGTGGTGAATCTATTGTTCCTACTGCTGAGTGCAATTATGCAGAGGATTTTCAGAAAGGATAACGAGAAAATAGCCACGGAGGGATGGAAGCTGAATCCATCAGGAAGCTGAATCCATCAGGAAGCCAAGGCCAAGTAGGATCCAGATCAGGATAAGCCCCCCCCCCCCCCAAAAAAAAAAAATAAAAGGAACAGCTGGAACACTAAGGAAACTTTGCTGAAAAACATCTTGCATCCTCCTGCTCTCATTTGGATTGAAAATACAGCAGGAAGTGTCTTCCAGCTGAACTCGTTCCCCTAACGACTGTTAATAACAATGATTGCTGTTCACATTGAAGCTGCATTAATACAAACTTCAGTTTTAACAGCAGCATCTTTGTCGAATGCCAAGAGGTTTATGTGATGCATAATCAGCTCTCCTAAAAAGTGTCACATTCTACGCCCCAGCCCTTTAATCAAGAAGTAGTCAAATAAAGTGCAAAAACAATGAAAAAAAAAGAAAAAAGAAGGAAGATTTTCGGTATCACTCGACAGCCTTTTCTGTGATATCTCTGCCTAACGTGCAGAGTGGACACATTCCCTGGGGCCTGGGTTACAGGGGTGAAGAGAGAGGTTCCTTCCCTGGTACAACCCTTGGATTTTTATCCATTGTGGGGTCACAACAATCCCATGGAAAGCTCCAGGCTCGGGGCAGGGTGGCTGGAAATCTGCTCGGTGGAGCTGGGGGTGTTTGACAGTGGCTGAACACAAGCCCAGGTGAGCCCAGGTGGGCAAGAGGCCAAGGGCACCTGGCTTGGACCAGGAATAGTGTGTCACAGGCCTGGTGCCTGTCCCTGTGCTGGCACTGCTGGGGCACTTCCAGTCCTGTGTCCAGTTCTGGGCCCCTCACACAAGAAGGACATTGAGGGGTTGGAGCTTGTCCAGGGAAGGGAATGGAGCTGGGAAGGGGCTGGAGCAGCAAGAGGAGCTGAGGGAGCTGGGGGGGCTCAGCCTGGAGAAAAGGAGGCTCAGGGGGGACCTTCTGGCTCTGCAAATCCCTGACAGGAGTGGGGAGCCAGGGGGGATCGGGCTCTGCTCCCAGGGAACAAGGGACAGGACAAGGGGAAACAGCCTCAAGCTGTGCCAGGGGAGGGTCAGGTTGGACATCAGGAGGAATTTCTTCCTGGAAAGGGCTGTCCAGCCCTGGCACAGCTGCCCATTGCAGTGGTGGAGTCCCCATCCCTGGAGGGCTTTAAAAGACATGTAGATGTGGCACTTGGGGACACAGATCAATGTTGGGACCTTTCTTGTTGAATACGTTCATTAATGTTTTCATCCCTCCCCAAATTTGGGCACACTCAGAACCTAAACTGAGAGCAAAGACACTGCCTCATGTTTGATCTATGCCAGATATGAGGAAGCAGGACCCGGTGCAGGATCTGTAATTAAGCTGTGGTTTTTCAGAGAAAGGCCTGATTTCATTACCAAGTCCTTCACTTGGCACAGCTCAGCTGAGATCCAGCCTGGAGCTGCTTGAGTGGCAAAAGAGCTTTTTTTCTGAGTTTCAGTTCCTGGTAGTGAAGCCAGTTATTCCTCTCAAATACAGAAAAAGAAAAAGCCCAAGTGATAATTCAATGGAATCATTTGTAACTGCAGCGGGAGTAATGAATAAATGCCTATTTTTAATTCATTTTCCTGCTGTGCCACCGCTTCATCTTTTCAGGTCTCCTTAAGCCAGCCCTCCCATTTTGGATGGCAGGGTTTGCCTTTCATCCCTCTGTGGGTTTCCAGATGTTAACAACAGAGGCAGGAGCAGCCTAAATGCAAAGCCTGACTTCGGGGAACAGAGTGGGGCTGATGCTGCACAGGCTTAACACAGCTTTACTCAAATAAAAGGCTCTGTCTGTCTGGGTTGCATAGAAGAGTAGGAAAAAAAAAAAGTAGTTTTCAGAAATCTCAGCTTTGATAGGATTAAGTTCAGCCTGGAAAAGAGAAGACTGAGGGGAGACCTCATTGCAGTTACAACTGCTTTGTGAGGGGCAGAGGAGGGGCAGGCACTGATCTCTGTGGGGACCAGGCACAGCACCCAGGAATGGCTGGAGCCGTGTCAGGACAGGCTCAGGGTGGATCTCAGGGAAAGGTTCTTCCCCCAGAGGGTGGTTGGCACTGAACAGGCTCCCCAGGGCAGTGGGCACAGCCCCAAGGCTGCCAGAGCTCCAGGAGGGTTTGGATGATTCTCTGGGGCACAGGGGGTGACTCCTGGGGATGGTCCTGTGCAGGGCTGAGGGTTGGACTGGATGGTCCTTGTGGGTCCCTTCCAACTTGGCATATTCTGGGATTCTGTGAAGGACTTTCTTGCTAAAGCCTGACTGAGCATAGAATAATGGAATCCCAGAATGGTTTGGGTTGGAAGGGACCTTAAAGGTCATCTCTTTCCAATCCCCTGCCATAGGCAGGGACGCCTTCCACTCATAGGGCTCAGAGCTTATATGGGTTTAATTCCAGAGGCAGAAGAGCAGCGCAGCTCCCACCAGAGCCACAGGCAACACCTCATCCCCACCTGCCTCCCCTGCATTCCATGCCCTTACCTGAGAGCAGGAGGAATCCACCTCCCACCTTGTAGGAGCGGGGGCTGACGAAGGGAATTCCACAGACCAGCAGGAGCCCCCCCACCAGCCCGGCAGCCACGGCCAGCAGGATGAACGCCGTCCAGAACCCTCTGTACACTGAGCAACAAGAGGGAAGTCAGGCAAAGGACAGCAAAAGAGGCTTTCTTCAGTCCATCCCTGAAGATCTTGGGGTTCTTTTCCAACCTTAATGACTCTGTGTTTAACCAACAGCAGAAACAACCACCTGCAATGGTGGCAAGTCAGGCAGAGCTGAGGCTCCTGCTTTGCCTGGAGCTGGTGCAAGTTCAGGTTGAATGTCGTGCCCTACATAATGGGATTGGAATGAGTACAAGGGGTTGGGAGGGTTTGCCAGGGAAGCAGGCCACGAAAGGGGGGAGAGGAAAGGACACTGTGCTTAGCTGGGCCTGAGGGGGGAGATGGAAAAGCTTGGCAAGAAAGGAAAGAGAACAGCAAAATTTGGAGAGGTGGAATCAGCCCAGAGCTTTGTTCTGTTTTAATTAACGCTTAGGGAAGGTGCCAGGTTCCTGGTTTAAAATAAGGGCAGTGTGTGTTGGCAGGAGTGCAGGAAAAATGGGAGCTCCTGATTTCCCCCATTAATGGCCTTTGTGACTGAGCAGAACAGGGCAGGGAACAGCTGCCTCTTCATCCACTGTGTTTGGGGGTTTTGCTGTGACTTCAGGCAACCATCCCACCCAGAGCGGAGCAAACTTGTGTCCATCACACCCCAGAAGACGGGACAGGGTGGGATTTAATCCACTAATTTCGGTCTCCCTGCAGCCAAGTCTCTTCCAGTCACCCCTATAAACCTTAGCCAAAGGTGGTGGTTTTCCAGCAGAGACCCCCTGATGCTCTGCTCTGCTCCTCTGATTTATCTGATCCCCTCAGACCACCACATCTCGCTCTGCCTGTTGTTTTTCAGGAGCTCTAGCCTGAGAGATTTAAGCCGAGCACGAGCAAGTGGGTAATGCTGAAATGATTCACACTTGAAAGAAAAATGATACCGAGGAGATGCGTTTTCCTCATTTGAAACCATTTTGTCAGGAGAGCCACTTAGGCAGAGATAAGTATCTTGAACTCTCCAAAACCACTGAATTCATTTTCATGTTTAACCTCCCATCACCCGTTTCTCTCAGGGAGCCTCAGAGGATGCAGATAAGGCAGAATTATCTCTGGAGCAGGTAATAGCTGGAGGACCCTTCTTGGACAGCCTCCTGGTCTGTCAGCACTTGCAAATGAGGATGGACTGGTGAGAAATGAAAGGAGTGTTAACTGCAGAGCCCCCGGGGGGCCTGCAGGGAGTTGGGGCAGTGGAGGATCCCCGGCGCTTCCACTGCCCTAAATGTGGGGGCTGAGACACCCTCATCTCCCCAGGGATCACAGGGGTGGGGGCGGGCACAGCCCCCTTCCTAGCACCTCCATGGAATCATTAAGGTTGGAAAAGATCTCTGCGAACATCGGGATCCTCCCGGGACCTGTCCCAGGAGAGGCAGCTGGGCAGGGTTCCATAGCAGGGGCTGACAGACAAGGGCAGATGCCTCCAGCCCTTTATTTAGGACGGGAAAAAAACAGCGTGTTTATCAGCAAGACCATTCAGAAACATCACTCCTGCCACTCCTAAGCAGGAAAAATCCCGCTCCTTAATCCATGTGTTTGCTGCACATCCTGCACCCAGCTCCTCCACCTCCTGCCATCCACAATGTCCCTCGTATCCATTGCCACCACCCGGGCCTGTTCCCCGGGGCAGGAATTCTGCACAGCACAGCAAGGCAAACTGGCTGCTCTCCCTCACATTCTCCTACTGACAATATTTTTTTTAATTAATTTCTCATAAAAAAAATAATAGTAAAAAAAAAAGAATAAAAATAAGAAAGGTACTGCTAAAGGCTAAGGAAAAGGTCAAGATGTTTGTTTGTGCAGAACGTCTGCCCTGCATCCCCGGAGGCAGTGCAGACTGATGCACACTATTTAAAGAAATCAATTCATTTCAAAAAAGATCATTGAATTAATTCTAGCTGCTGCCACCAATTTAGCAAATTAAAATTCCTAGCAGCAGCTGATTCATTAAAGAACTCGGAAAATATAGAGAAACATAAATAAAAAGGGAGCGGGTTGAAAGGCAGCTCTCCAACCACGCCGTGTTCGGGGTATTAAACATCAGCCAGTCACTTATGGGGATCTTCTGACAATTTGGTCTTTAACTGATTTTCCAATGTTTGTTTTGTTTGGTTGTTTGTTTGGTTTTTTTGCACTAAATAAACGCCAGAGCTCTCCCAAGAAGCCTGACTCCAGGAATGAGTCAGCACTGGGATGGGTTTGGGTTTTCTGGATGAAGCTTGTTGTCTCCAGCTCCTCCCAGTGAGTGAGGAGGTGGGAGGGAGTGGATTTAATCTGCTGCCTTGCTCATCGGAGTAGGTGCTGAGCACACAGTGGGAGGGTACCCAGCTCATGGCCAGGAACGCTGGGTCTGGAGCAGATAAGATGTGGGGGAACATCTTGATGTGCCCACAGTTTGGGGCAGTTAACTGAGCAAAGCCAGTGTATAAAGGAGTTTTCCAAAAGTCCATGCTTGGCCACAGGCATTTCCAAGGGACTGACACACATCCCAAACCTCTACCCAATCCCTTGGGAAAGGAGCTGCTGGGGGAGGAGGACAGAAACTCACCTGCAGTTGTGTCATAGGAGGGGTGGGGGAAAGGTCCAAGAGCAATGGGCATGGGGAACAGGTATCCATGCATGCAGAACTTGGGGTGTGCTTGGCTGGCTGAAAAAGAGTAAAAAAAAAAAAATTCATTAAATCCCTGTTTGCTTTTGCTTTTGCAGAATCACCATTACAGCATGCAGATGGGGATGTGTTGTCTTGTAAAACCTGTAAAACCCTCACCGAAATCAGAAGGCTGGGGAGGAAAGAAGGAGGGTAAATCTCGGTTAGATAAATCAAATAAATAAAAAGAAAAATGGTGAGAGAGTGGGGATACCAGAGGATCTGAGTCTGCTACTGGTACATCTTCTCATTTTCATAACCTGAGTCTGAGGTGGACGTGAATCATGAAAGATGGAACAACTGAAATCAGTGTAAATATTCCCATTGCTGTTTTCCTCCAGAGAATGTGCCACAACACCTGGAAGTGGCAAAGGTGTTTGGGTACCAGAACAAGGCTCTTTTCAAGACCTCCAGTTGGTGAGAAGGGAAAGCACAATTAGAATGGAAGTGCCCCATCAATATTAATACCACTGAGGCTTATCGTGATTAACAGTAATAGAATGAATGTTAAATGAATTAATTAATGGTTGGCCACTTATTTAAATATGTTCCCCAGCTCAAAGGAACACTTTATAATAGGTGGACATTAGTTCATGCTAAATTGACTATGGAATACCTATTGAATTAATTATTACATCCACGAGAGCAGCAAATTAATTTGCCATGATCAATCCCATTATAATAAATACCTAAAGAAGTAGCACAAATTTGCCAGTTATCAGAGCGAGTCATTTTACTTCAGGTGGCATTATATTATGTATTTTTATATAATGTAATTTGATAGCAAACTCCCTCTCTCCAGCCTGTCCTTTTTTTTTTTTTTAATATCAAAAACTTTGTGGGAGAAACCTCACGCGGTTCAGTCGAGCGGTGGCAGCGACTATTCCTGCCAGATTTTACAGGAAACAGGTCAGGGGCTGAGGGAGACAGCAAAGTCATTTGAAATTTTAATCACTGCAGAGTAGATTTACTGTGGGAACCTGCATCATCTGCAGCCCTGCGAGGCCACTGTGCTGCTCCACAACCACGCGAGCACCTCTGAGTGGATCGAAGCCCCAGCGGGCACAGGGTCAAGGTTTTAGTGGTGTTTAAATCCAACACCCCTCACTGCACAAGGGCCACCAGTCAGGACCAGCTGGGGTGTAGGAACAGGTTTCACCTTCTCCTTCAGGGTTTTTTGTTTTTTGTTTTTGTAGAGTAAATGTGCTTTCAGAAAAAAAAATAAAAATTAATGATATCTCTCTTTATTCTTACATGTAATTTCAGTGACCTTAAAAAAGCAAAGCAGGCAAGATCTTAAAATAAAGAGCATAAACACACGTGTTTATGGCCCTCCACGGTCCTCCACTGGTCCTGGGCATGCAGACACCACACACATGTGCATGTCCAGCCTTCCCTGTGCTGAAATCAGTGGAAGGTGGGAATGCTCAGCATCCTGATGGTGGAAAACAGGGTAGAAAACAGAAGACCAGGAAGGGCATGGGCTCAAGTTTAGCAAATTTAGCTGAGTACAAACATCAAGAGGTATGTGAGGAAGGGTTGTGGAGGTATGTGAGGTGGGTTATGAAGCCACCACTTCGTATGACTTTGAAAATGGTTTATGAAATGGCATAAAAATGTTTCTACATTTCTGTGAACAGCCCTCTGAGAGCAAAATCCAAGTTCAAAAAAGAGCACAGAAAGGGTGAGCCAGGTTTGCTTTTGGGAGGGAAACAATGAAAATGAAAAACATGAAATAAAACCATCCCAGTGCCCCTGGGAGCCCTCCTTGCAGTTGTCTCCCATTCAGACCGTGAGTGAATGCTGGGGATGCAGCGTGGTGGCATCATACTCACTGTACCAGAAGGTCCAGATGGTCTCTGGGTGGCCCTCACCAAAGAACCAGCATCTCCAGAAGAAGCCCTCGTGGTGGAAAGTGAGAATCTCCTTCCTGGTCTCTGTCGGTGTTTCAACCTGTGGAGGAACAAAAGTCCAGCTGATCCAGGGAAGATCAGGGCACAAAGTGTATATTTTTTTGTATATTTTTGTTGCTTTCATTTTCTGATGGAGTTTTCATTTGTTGATTGAGTTGGTCTTGGGGAACAAGGAGGCAGCTGCTGTTCTTGGCTTTCTGTACCAGAGCTCTAAAATGTTCTGATAACAAATTGTCCAAAATCCAGGCCTGCACAAACCAGTTTCTTCTTTAATATCCTTAAGCCACTGATGCCCAGAGCTGGATGGGTATGGCAGAGTGTGTTCAACTTCTTAAACCCCTTCTTTCAACCCCCAGACCAGACCTGTGAGCACAAGGTTTCGGTCCCTCCAGAAGGGAGGATACTGCAAAGTTTAGTTGAGGATTATTTGTCAAAAAAACTTACTGAAAATTTAGCCAAAATCAATTTTATCTTTATTACACGCAGTCTGGTGAAGGAGACATGACTGCAGCAGAACTGTGTTTTGTGGAGAGTGGGGAATGTCCATGTGGGAATGGGATCTGTGAATTAGAGACAGGAGATGGGCCTCAACAGGGAGGTGCTGGAATGCACTTAGCATGTCATAGAATGGTTTGGCTTGGAAGGGACCTTAAAGGTCAACTCATTCCATTGGCAGGGACACCTTCCACCAGCCCAGGCTGCTCCAAGCCCTGTCCAACCTGACCTTGGACACTTCCAGGGATCCAGGGGCAGCCACAGCTTCTCTGGGCAACCTGTGCCAGGGCCTGCCCACCCTCACAGCCAAGAATTCTTTCCCAATATCCCATCTCTCCCTGCCCTCTGGCAGTAGGAAGCCATTCCCCTTGTCCCAAGTCCCTCTCCTGCTCTCCTGGAGCCCCTTCAGGCACCAGAAGGGGTTCTGAGCTCTCCCTGGAGACCTCGAACTTCCCTCACCTCAATGTTTTTAGACATTAGGACAGATTCCAGAGCTCTGACCTGATTCTCCTTTTTCTTTCAGGATAAAACACTGAGTTGTGAAAAGGGTAACATTCAGCCCTGAAACCCCCTCAGCTGGGTGGCTGCTGACTTGGTGCATCCACAGCAATTTCACTGTTTGCAGACACTCAGCCCATCCTTATCTGCGAGGAACAGCATTTGACAGTTTAAGAAAGGACAGAGAAGGTAAAAACACAGGAACAAAAATAGAAATAATAGAAACGGTGTCTGAAATAGAAATAAAATAGCTCAGAGGGAAGAGCAGGAGCAGCTCCTATTTCTGCCTGGTGCCTTTGAAGTGGCTCTGCCTCAGTGACAGGCACAACAACACTTGGCCAGGAGCGTATCTGAAATGTTTGAGATGCTTATTCGTGGCGTGCAGTGAACCATCTCTGCTCTCTCCACTTTAAAGGACAACAAAAATGGGAAACAATTAACACTGGCACTTCCCAAGTGCTCAAAACCAGCAGGCATTCTCTGTGCACAACCCTCTGCCATCTCCAGGGCTTTACTGTGCTGCTTGAAATAGTAAAGACCCCGTCCCTGTTTCGCTTCTTCAGGCAGTTTTTTCCATCATAATGTGCTTTTTTTTCCTCAACACAGAAAGTCATTTGGAACCATGACTCAAGCAAACAGTGCCCCACATTTGATTTTGGGATTCTGAAATGAAAGGAAAATATTTCTTGCTGGCATCATGATGCTCACCCAGGGTGAGTCACCACACCAGGGGAAAAAAAAAATCAAACCTAATTGGATTGAACTTTGAAGTAACAAAAAGTCTGCACACAACAAGGATCTTCCTGTCATTTTGTAACTGAAGCCACGCATTGATCAGCACAAAAACATTTTGGAAGAGTAGGTGGCTCGAGGAACTGAGCTGGTTGTTATTTCATTGAGGAGTCAGACAACAGCATGCACAGCGAAAATCCACCTTTAGAAAGGATCTGTAAACGAGTGACACCAGTCCTTGGCACCAAAACACCAAACTGCCCTTCAGAAATTACATTTTCCCACCAACTAAAATCCTCAATAAACCTCAATTTGAAAACATACAGATCTCATCCTATTAGATGGGCAGGAACTTGTCTACACTGCCTGCATTTGATGTTCCCTTTTGTTTTCTGTCTCTGCTGCAGTTGTATCACTTTAGATGTGATTGCCAAGCCCCACACTTTTAAATATGAACTAGTTTTAAATGAAGAAACTACAGAGGGAGAAATCTTTTAATGGCAAATATCAGCAGATATCTTTTGTCTTTAGAGGGAAACGCTGTCAACAACTAAAGCTCTTACATTTTTGCCTTTCATTCTCTAATGTTCATATCTGCCAGATTACAGAAGTGCTGTCTTAATGTTTCCTAGACACACTTTACTTCAGTCAAAATGCTCAATGCTATGGAAAAGCCAGTTTGTATTTTTAAAAATCGAAAGTTTTGGCTCAGGCTGACGTTTCACACGAACAGGTCACTTTGAGCAAAAAATGACGTCGCGGATGTAAAAATTTTAAATTATTTACAGGAGTTAAGTGTTTGCAGAGCAAGACAAGATTTCAGGGCTCACCTCCCCGGGGCTCAGAGTGCTGTTCTCGGGCTGGAAGACGCCGCAGGTCTCCGTAGCCAGGAGCCAATAATCCGTGCCGAAGGCGATGAGGAAGAGCAAGACGCCGGTGCTGCCGAGGATCCCGGCTGCCAGGGCAGCTATGCCAGCCTTCATGGGGCACCACGAGGGAAGGGGGAATTTGGAAAAGAAGAAAAACCCTGATTTTTCCCGGCTGGCTGGAGGAGAGGGGCAAGAGAAGCGCTATTTTTGGCCGTGGGGGGGATGATCTCCCGGCTGGTGTGAGTTTCAGGGGGTGGTGGAACGGGACTAAGAAAAGCAGATGACCTGGTGGAACCAAACAGCTGTGGCATTAAGGATCATGACAAATCGCTCTGGAGGCAGAGCAGGAAGGGTTCCAAGTGAACACATGGCTGCTCGTGTCAGAGGAGAGGAGCAGGGAGCCCTCAGTCACGGTGCAAAGCTCGCAGGGCACCAGGGAGTTTTTAACTGCCTTTCTGCACAGATTAACAGAAGATGAGCCTGGTGTGAGCAGAGATGAACTAAAATATCTTCACCGAGCCCTGGAGCCCTCAGTGTCCTCAGCCTTTGCTGTGAGACACCTCCAGTTGTGTCCTCACAAGCACTTCTGGAACGTGCTTCTCCTTCCTCTGAACAAAGCACAGCTGCCACACAGAGAAACCCCAGAGATCTAAGAATAACCTTGAAATACTGGTGACATCTTAAATGTCCTGGTCCTCTTGGAAGAGGTGCAATCAACCAATGCAAACACTCGTACACCAGGCAGGTCCACCTCGAGCTACACCAACCGTGTGGACACACCAACACTCCTGGGGTGTCTCGCTGTGCAGCTGTAGGATGATGTTCCCTCTCCTGCCATGGAAGAGTGGCCTGTACAGCCTCCCTTCCCCTGCCACCACCCCAGCCTGCAGTGGGAGAAGTGTCTCCTGGGGACGAGGACATTCCTGAATGGAATTTCATTGCCATTTGGTTCCTAATGTTTTTGGCTCCTGCTGGAGCATCTGCTGTAGATCACTGCCAGGAACGGGATGCCAGACCAGGAAAATCATAATTTCTGTAGGGCAATAACTATATTCCCGTGACATGCCAGGAGGCTGGGGGAGGAAATTCAAATGACAGTGAAAATCAAGTTCTCATTTTCTAACCTCAGCCTAAGTCATGACCTGTTCTAAACAGGGGGAGGGATGAAGATGTTGATTCCCCTATCCCATGGGAATTTGTATTGTCAAATTAATTTCCAAATCAATTTAATATTTAAAGTTACCTGTAATTATATGGGTATCTTAAAGAACTGCACACTGGTAATGAAACCTGGAGAGGGTTGGGTATAATTTTGACTAAATTTGTAGCTACCTGCTGTGGCATATGGATTGATGGATATACTCAACCTTCTTCTATAGGCACAACAGACAAATTATAATAATTTCTTCTATTCTCTGCATTGTTTTTACTTAAATGTTGCAGAGAGAGCTGTTAAACAGCACATCAGACCTCTCTTCCTGAGTGTCACAGGGGCAGAGCTGCTGTTTGTTCAACCTTAACCTGAGCACGAGGCATCCCATAGGATCCAGAAGTGAGATCCCTGCCCAGAGAAGTCCCCAAACTGACACAGGGAGAAAGGAAAGGTGGGACAATCAAAACTCAGCCACAGTCCTGTGATTCTGCAGGAATAAACACACACTGCCCCCTCCACAGCCACTTAACTCACCCTTCCATGTTGTGCTGCCACCTCCACTGGAAGCACTCCCAGATCCTGTGACAGGTTCCCACGCAGGTGCTTGTGGTCAGCTCTCCCTACACCTCCACTCATCCCATTCCTACACATATCAACCCTCTCCCAGCCCAACCCATCCCAGCATATCCACTCTTTTTCCACAACATCCCCATCTCAGTTATCCGCTACTTCACAACTGCAATGAGATGAACCCCTTACTTTGAGCATAAAAGGGTCAATGAAATACAAATCACAATGTATCTACCACCTGAATCATCAATTAGTGTCATTTCAAACAGTTTCACTTAAATAACATGGAGTTCTGGCTAAACCTGTCTGAAGTGACGAGGAGAATCCTTGTGATCTCCACCTCAAAGCTGGACACGACTGACTGGGGAGCTTTGGCAACGCTTGAAGGAGCAAAGTGAAGACAAGGCTTTGCATTTTCGTGGATCGCCCTGCAACTGCATGAAATTAAAATGCAAAGTGGCCACTTGTGTATTAAAAAAAAAAAAAGAGATTAATGCACACTTCCACATTTCTGGGTGTGTTTGGAGTCAGCTGTGTTTGGCATTGCTGTATTCATGCTAATGCACGTTCCCAGTTAGTGCTGTTTGCCATTTGGAAGGTGTCCTCAGCAATTCTGGGTCCCACTGGCAGAGAAACCCCTGCATGGCTGAGGCAGAGCATTGCTGGTGCCCAGCCTTGGCTCCTCATGGGCTGCCTTGCGCCCAGTCAAACATCTTCCAAATTCCTGGAAGAGGAACTGAGTTCACGAGGTCGAAATGTCTCTCTGTGCAATGAACATCCCACTCCTGACAGGTGTTTTTTTTCAAGGACAGGTTGGATGGAGCTCTGAGCAACCTGGGACAGCGGGAGGTGTCCCTGCCCACAGCAGGGGATTGGAACTGAATGACCTTTAAGGTCCCTTCCAACCCAGACCACTCTGTGATGATTCCATGACTCCTTGGCACAGCCCCAAGCACGTGCTCATCACCTTCAGGATCTGAAAACTTCCTGGGCACGATGGACAATGAGATCATGTGGTCCCTCCCACAGCCTGTAGAAAGTGATAATGATGTTCATTGTCCTTTGCAGCCTGTGTTGGGATCTCTGGAATGCCACACCAAAGCTAGGGAGATGTATGAACTGACCACCACCATGACCCTTTAATTCCCAAGGAAAATAAACCCACCCTTTCCTCCCTTACCTACTGTGGTGCCAGCAGGGACATGCCTTCAGCATCCTCTGATCCACAGAGATCAAACTCTGGTGCCACCAAGGACAGCCCTAGAATTTAAATGGAAGGAAGGCAAAGTTGTAACCCTGAGCATTTCATTATTTCCTAATTGATGATTTTTTCCCCACTTATTTCAACTGAAATTGTGAATCTCCAAAACAAACATGTTCCAGCAAGAAGCTGAGGCAAGTCAGCTCAGATTTTTCACAGAATCAGTGTTTTACCTTTTGACTGATCAAAGGCTCCATCAGTACAGTCTGTGTTGTCGTTATTTCTGATAGTTTGATCCGTGCTCACAGGAAAATTTACATTTTATGTAGATAGAGCAACATATTTTCACTTTTTCCTGCTGAAAGCAGAAATTTCTTGGAATTTGATGAACAGATGAGGTTTCAGAGTGGCTTGTGGAGACTCCCTCAAGTCCCTTTGGAGATCTGCAGACCTTTCTGCATTGGAGCTTGGCCTGATGATGGTGGGTGGTCAAACCCATAGGCTGTTGAGGGCACTGGTGGAATCACCATCCCTGGAGGGATTTAACAGCCACGTGGATGTGGCATTTGAGGATGTGGGTTAGTGGCAGTGCTGGGGAAACAGTTGGACTCAATCTTAGAGGTCTTTTCCAACCTAAATTATTCCATCATTCTGTGATCTATCACAGTCTGAAGGACGTTCCACGCAGTGTTTCCATCGGTAGGTGAGGTGAACATCTCTTATGAGTCCCTTCCTTTACTGCTGTCTCCACAAACCTCAGAACAAGGAGAAACCAAAGACAGCAAAGCCAACCAGACCACAGCAAGTGCTACCCAAGCACTTCCAACTTTGCCTTGGAAAAGCCACCAGAATCCCCAGGTGGTGGCAAAGAGCAATCCCCCATTCTGACCTGTGCTGGAAGGGAGAGGAACAGATACCCATGTTGGCATTTGTCCCTTTAATTCTGCTTTGAAATTACAATCTCCAGTCCATCTCCATCCCAAGCTCCTTTTCCACGTCTCCCGTCTCCACGTCTCTGGGAAGAAGCACATAAGCCTGGATGTTGAAAGATTCTTAATGTTTCCTGGGAGGTTGAATCCCCTCTAGGACTTGATGTCAGGAGAGAAAAAAAGCTCAAATTTGCCTCACCTGCTTCTTAAGCACTGCTGGGCCCTTCCAGGATTAAGGCATTATAATCTCCTTAAGCAGTTGTGAAATTAAATAAACACAAGAGTGATTTGCTTCTCAAAATACAAATATTAAAAGGAGTCCATGTGCTGAAATGCCTTTTGGAATTGTCAGTGCAAAGGAGATTTAGGAAGGGGCTGCTTGATCTGTGTGCCTGGAGTTCTCTGACGTGGCTTTTGGGCTCCCACTTTGCCATCAGAAACAACTTCTGCCCTTTTTAACCCGAACTTTGCAAAGACTCCTGTAAACTTCCAGAGTAAGCACAGAGCAGTAACTCTCTGAACTCCTGAAGGAATCAAACTGATGCAATTTATTTCCACAGAACCATGCAATATTCAATGATACACTGAATCCGTGTTTTCAACACTTTTTAAAGGACTAAAACCCTGGAAAGAATTAATTAGGCACGCTCTGAAGCCTGAGCATTTAACAGTTTTCCACTCGGTTGTAGAATTTTAAGACCACCAACACTGGATACTGGCAAAGATTATCAAAGGTATTCTGGGTTGAAATACAAACTAGTCAGAAGGTTTGGCCACTAAGCAGCTGGAAAATGCTTCATGAAATCCTTAGCTGGGCTTTTATATTTTCTAAAGAAATTTTCAGAAAAAATCCAGAGTATCCAGAAGGTTAAATTTGGGGCAGAGTGACTCATTGGGAAAGTATGTGCTGCAGGGAATATTGTCTTCGCAGATCAAGCAAATGGTTAATGCAGCTGAGGGGTATTTATGGACCCGGCGTTGCAAAGTGGGGCTGGAAGGGAAGGGTGGGCTGGGATCTGTGCAGGATCCAGCCAGTGCACGGGAATGTGGGGCTGGATGGAGCAGCTTCCACAGCCATGAGCCACAGCATCTGGAATTGCCAGAACCTGGGAGATCCTGCCACCAAAATATCTCCTGTTGTGCTGAAGTGAGGTGAAAATGTATAACTCTGAACAAATGCAAGGCCTTTTTTTTTTTTTTTTCCCTTTTTCCCATCAGATAAAATTTCAGTTCCATTTTCTGGCTGCATCCTCCTTTTCCCACTGTTGCCTACGACAGTATTACAAAATCCCAAAACAGTCCCTGTTTGACAAGGTCCTCACTAGCCCATAATGATATTGCAGAAAACTGATTTCACA